CAAAATCTCCAACAACTTATTTGTCTTTCCATCTTTCTTCTAAAAATATGACTACTCCATGTAAATATTGGAGCAAATCTGAAAACACCCTTAAGTAAAAAAGAAGTCAACAAACACAGTCCACTTTGCAACAGCCCAGTACTAGTCTTAGGACAAGCATAGTGTGGCCCTGCCCCCTCCAGTCCCAGCATCTGCCCCCAGACACCCGCTCCTTCACTGTGGAGACAGAGCTCAGTGAGCTGGGCCTGCAGCTGGCGCAGGTATCAGGGTGGCACGAATGGGCCCTCGCCAAGACCTTGCTCATAACTACAGCTGCCCCACGAACCACACCCTGTTCACCTAGGCTGGGGTGAAAGGGTGGTCAGGGAAATACCACGGATTCCTTCTCCCTGCCCTGCATTCTCCCTCCTTAGGCAGGAAGGTAGAAGGCCCGAGTCCAGCACCCCACATTCTCAGCCCCCCATCACCTCCCACTAGGGCAGTGGCTGCATGATAGAGTCACCTCTGGAACTTTTTAAAAGCCATGTCCAAGTCAACAGAATATCTCTGGGTGGGGCCCAGGCATGGTATTTATTTAAACTCTGAAGTGATTCCACTGGACAGTGCAGCTTGGGCTGCGAACCACTGCCTGCATGGCTATGTGGTATCTAACCTCAGTTTCCTTGTCTGCACACAATCCCAACACCCCTCCCCCGACCCCCAATTAACCTTAAGGAAATAGTTTGAAAAGTTGCATCAGTCTGGGATAGAGAATGAAAGGGAGTGACTATAACTAAAGGCTTTAGCTAATGGAGTTTTCAATTCTCCAATTTGTCATGGGACTAGGAGAGTTAACAGGTGCACACTTTCTCTCCAAGACGCTTGTGATGTGCTGACTGTCCCCCTGAGATCTGCCTGTCAGCGGGGCAGACGGCAGGACCCAGTAGCCTCTTTCTCCCCACTCCGCCTTCTCAACCTGGGCTGTGGCAGATGAGGGCGATTCCCAGCACATGAGCTCCCTCCCAACCTCCCTCTCAGTTCCTAAGTTTGTGGCTTTAAAAATTTTGAAAATCATTGTACTAGCCCAAATGGCAAATAACTCCCTGAAAAGTGCCAGTGATAGGTTTACCATTCTCCTGCTACCTGTCCTGCTGAGACTCCCCCACTCCCTGTGGGGGCTCGACCCCATTCTTGGCTCCCTATGGAAGGGGGTTCCTTGTTAGAGACCAGAGGGACACACAGGAAGAGCACGGCTCGGCAGACTCTGGGCAGGTGGGCATTTTGCTGCATTGCGAAGCTGGGGGCAACTGGGAGGGGAGTTGGGACCTGAGTTCAGAGAAGCCACCATCTATCTGCCCCTGGCCTCAGCCTCACCTGGGAGTGGGTGGCGGGCAGCGGTGGCACTGCTTTCCTCAGCAGCCTGCTCCACCTGCTTGGCTGGATGGGAAACTGGTCAGGTGGCTGATAACTAAAGGCTTTAGCTAATGGAGTTTTCAATTCTCCAATTTGTCGTGGGACTAGGAGAGTTAACAGGTGCACACTTTCTCTCCAAGACGCTTGTGATGCGCTGACTGTCCCCCTGAGGTCTGCCTGTCAGCGGGGCAGACAGCAGGACCCAGTAGCCTCTTTCTCCCCACTCCACCTTCTCAACCTGGGCTGTGGCAGATGAGGGCGATTCCCAGCACATGAGCTCCCTCCCATCCTCCCTCTCTCAGTTCCTAAGTTTGTGGCTTTAAAAATTTTGAAAATCATTGTACTAGCCCAAATGGCAAATAACTCCCTGAAAAGTGCCAGTGATAGGTTTACCATTCTCCTGCTACCTGTCCTGCTGAGACTCCCCCACTCCCTGTGGGGGCTCGACCCCATTCTTGGCTCCCTATGGAAGGGGGTTCCTTGTTAGAGACCAGAGGGACACACAGGAAGAGCACGGCTCGGCGGACACTGGGCAGGTGGGCATTTTGCTGCATTGCGAAGCTGGGGGCAACTGGGAGGGGAGTTGGGACCTGAGTTCAGAGAAGCCACCATCTATCTGCCCCTGGCCTCAGCCTCACCTGGGAGTGGGTGGCGGGCAGCGGTGGCACTGCTTTCCTCAGCAGCCTGCTCCACCTGCTTGGCTGGATGGGAAACTGGTCAGGTGGCTGAGAGCCTGGGGGAGGGGGGGGCAGAGGTCAGGAGTGACGGGCCTTCTGAGGGATGGGGTGGGATATCATGGGTGTGCCTCTGTTTCCCCCTGCCCCTGACTCCCAACTGTCAGGCAGCCAGGGGACACCTGTGGAGCCACAGAGCCCCGTCCCTTCCCCCGTGTGGCCTGAGGAAGCCAGTTGATCAGACTGAGTGAGAATCGATGGTTTTCTCTATTAAATAAAACAGGGAGAGATGGTAAGAGGTGGCAGATATGAGGAAGGTTGGGGACAGTGTCTCCTGTTCTCATGCAGTGCTGTAAACCCCTAGCCCTTCTCTACCCCTTGTCCAGGGCATCTCAGTCCCTTTGGTTTAGCCTTGGGAGCAGGTAATCTTTGCTCCTGGGTCTCAGATCACCACAGGATCTGGTTTCCTGACTGACACATGTACAAATCATAATACTGACTGGAGATACATTTATCCAGTGCTTACTATGTCCTAGGTGCTTTTCATATGTTCTCAGTAGGTGTTATTTTTGGCAGATTCGGAAACTGAGGCTTAAAGGCCAAATTATTTATGCAGAAACTTGCTGCTAGCAATGCAGAGACCACTCTGACTCAAACCTAGGTGTGTCCCACCGTTTCTATGAGCTCGGGTCTGCGTTTGAGAGATGGCCCTGTCTGTCTCTTCCTAGAGCTGAGCTTCAGTGGCCTTGCTTAAATGGGACTGACAGAGCGTCCCCAGAGAAGAGGGCCTTGTAGGGATTCAGTGAGAAAAGTGCCCAGCTGGTAGCAAGGGTTTCAGTCCATGCTGACTAGTATATTCCTTTTCCCACCCCAGCACATCCAGCCCTTGTGGAGAGTTTCCAGAGGTGACAGGCCTCCCTTCCTGCAGGAAGGACAACCCCAGCCACTCTAGGACCTCTCCGGGGCCCACTGCTGCTCGCTCTGCCATCTTGAACACCTTCTTTTGGGCTCTTCTGTCTCCCTCACCTCGCCCTGGCCTAATTCCTGGCCCCCTGCCCTCTCTTCTCTCAGCCCTGGAGGCCAGTTGGAGTCCGATGGCTTCAGCAGCCCCTGCAAGTCTTGCCCTTGCCTGGGTCTGGGCCAGTCCTTCCTACCCTCTTGCTGGATAAAGGCTTCCACTTTGTTGCTGGTGGATTTAGTTAAACCCAACTGCAGAGAGATGCTGGCAGGTGTTGGGGATTGAGGGGCACTAGAGGATAAGTTAGTTGAGGCCAGAGAATATATCCTCATTCATTCAGATTCATTTATTCACTCATTTAACAAATATATGTTGAGCAGGTATTATGTGCCAGGCAGTGTCTAGGTTCTGGGAATACAGCAATTGAAAAGAAAATACATGAAAGTCCCTGCCCTCATGGGGCTTACATTCTAGACAGCCTCTGCATTCCCTCACCTCATCTGTAGATGGTGCCGTGGTCAAGAGCCACACTGCCTGGATTCATGTCCCAGCTCCACCACTGACTAGCTGTGAGACCTTGGGCAAGTGCCTCTGTTTCCTCATCTGTACAATGGGGTGATTGAATCTACTTTATAGGTGTAAAGATTCAGTGAGCTAAGTGATTTAAATTACTTCAATCAGTGCCCATCCTAGTAAGTGCTCAAATACCAACTCTTAGTCACATATCAACTATGAAGTGAGGATTAATCCACTCCTGCACACCTCACAAGGTGGCTGGAAGGGCTGGGTGAGAGGAATGATAAAGGATGTTTCTTTCCTGCCAGGCACCATGTATGAATAAGGATTCGTCCTATTTCACCTTCCAGGCCAGAGGAACCAAGTGGGTTTTGATGGTATGAATTAAGGATCAGTGCAGCCAGGGATGGGAAAGGAGGTTCAGCTCCTGAACCCCCAACAGTCTGTGGGTCCAGTGGAGGCCTGTTGAGGCTGCATCCTGCAGAGCAGGGAATAGTTAGTTCTGTGATCTGAAAGTGATGGTGGCTGCGGGAGCTGGAGGCAGGGCCGGAAATAGCTCTGTGGGTGCCAGCGAGCTGCCACCATCCTCAGACAGGCTGCCATCCTGACCTTGGTTTCCCCCAGCCTGACCCTTAAGGGGAAGAGCCCCACGGCAGCCCTATCTTGCTCATGTCTGAAGGTGGGCAGCATGTCCCAAAGGTCAGGATGAGTCTCTCTAGGAAGGAGATGCCTGGCAGCTGCCACCAGGTGGAAACCCAAGTTGTGTGGACAGTGCCAGCCTGGGAAGATGGGGTCGGGCAGCTGTTGTCTGAAGCTCTGGAGAGGGGCATGGACATGCCTCGCTGGAAAGCTGGAGCAGAGCAGCGGCTGGGCTGAGTTTAGGACACTGTTTTTTCAGCTGGTGGGAAGGAGTAGAAATATTTACAGGCCTCCTTCCTGTGGCTTTTATGGGGAAAGGGGATAGGATAACCGCAGTTAGGAACCAGATGGGCCTGAGTTCTAGTACCGGCTTCATTGCTTTTAGCACCGTGACTTCAGGTACTTCTTTAACCTCTTGAAGCCTCAAATCCTCATTTGCAAGATGGAAAAAATTATAATATCTTCCCCGCAGAATTCTGTCCTCATTAAATGAGCTAAAGGCACATAAAATGCTTAGCACAACACTTGGCACATCTTAAGCCCTCAGTAAATCACAGCTGCTTTATGATGAGGGTGACAGAGGCAGGGAGCTCTATTCTGTCCCCACACAAGAGCTGAGCCTGGGCTGTGTGCAGGCTTCTCTTCTCTCATCACTCACCAGGCTTATATGGAAAATGAAAATACTGGGAATTTGGAGCCAAGTTAAAGAAGCTGCAAGTGAATAGGGGTTGCCTCTTTCTGCGAAAGATGTTTCCCTAATGCCGAGGACAGGACGTGTTGTCTAACAGTCTGTTTGCCCGGTTGCCTCTTTCTGCGAAAGATGTTTCCCTAATGCCGAGGACAGGACGTGTTGTCTAACAGGGTGTTTGCCTAGCTCCCCCATGTCCTTCCCTCTAACCCAGGGATAGTCTCAGTCCTGGTCAGCTCTTCTGTTCTAGGAGATCAGTTAAGGCCTCTCCCTCATCCTGTGTAATCCGAATCAAGATCGGTGAGATGTCCTGACCAGAGCCACAGCTACACTGGTGGGAACAGGGAGCTGGCCCCCCAAGTTCACACACAGGGACCTCAGCTCTCTGAGCCCCCTGTCAAGTGATGCCTGGCAGAACCGCAGGGAAGCCAGTTAGGGAGTGTGTGTACGGGCCCATGCGAGTGGTGTCTCATGCACAGCAGCGCTAGTGCTACTCCTCACCCCCTGCAGTGGGGTGGAGACAAGCTGATTCCCAGGCCAGCTGTTTGGGAACCGTGGCTGAGGAGGCAACAGCAAGGGCACTGGGGGGCCCAGGGCCAGGCAGAGCAATAAAGGGAGGGAGGCAGGGACTTGTGAAGGCTTGAAACCAACAGGTCCACAACCTAGCCCAGTTCTGCCACATAACGTCTGTCTGCCCAGTGAGCGTAACTGCTGCCACCGGATCTTTGCAAGGATCAGCAGTGCGTCTAGCCCCGTGCTTCTAGCCCCATGCTTCTAGCCCTGGGCAGCTAGGGGCCCTTCAGAATGCTTCCTTTGCATACCCCTTGCTGGGTGACCATGGAGAGATAATGGAAGTCCTGGGGAAAGCATGTGAGGCTGTGGCTCACTGATAACTAGGGCCAGAGGCTGAAGTTGTGAACTGTTATCCAAAGGGCACACCATCAGTGGGTGCAGGGCAGGAGGCTCAGCTTTTCCACCTCTCAATGCTCCCAACCTTAATGCCCCCTTCAGTTACCGTGTTTTGTCAACTCTTATGTTTGATGTCTCCTTAGCACTTACTAAATGATTCCCAAATCACGGGTTACCTTTGGCAAGTTGGTGTTTCTCAGGGGGAGCAGTGTTCTCATTGTGGGTGGCATTGTCCTGTGAATTGCAAGGAATTTAGCATCCCTGGCTCCTGCCCACTTAATGCCAGAAGAATCCCCCATCATTCACTAGAACAAACTGTGGGGGAAGGGCAGAGATTCTGTCTGTTCACAGCCGTATCTCCAGTGCCTAGAACAGGTCCTGGTACATACAACACTCCCCATCAGGTATCATTTCCAAACACTCTAGAAGCTGCTACCACCCCCAGTCGAGAGCCTCTATTACAGTCATACCTTCAACAGCAAGGCTGATACATGGTGGTCACCCCTGGTCTAAAGATTTTTCATTATCAGAGATTGATTATTGCAAAAAGCAGCCCATTATGAGGTAGCTCGTTATCCAAAAAAGCCACTTCTGTCCCCTCTTGGACCTTGGCCTGTTGGCTAACATATCATGTGAACTTTGACACCCAGAATGGATAGGGTGCCCATGTGTGGCTGACCCTGCAGAGAAGGATGGCTCGTTAGCTCCGAGCCCTGGAAAGAGGTGTGCTGATGCTGCCTGAGATCGCATTTACTTTTCTTTTCACAGCCATCGTGGTATTTGTTGGTTTGTGGTCAGCTGAAACCCAAGGACTTTCCCCTTTGATCCTGTACTAATCTTTTCCAATTCAAAGTGTAAGACTTGAAAATTTAAAAAGACTTTCATATCTATTTAATTTTCACGCATATTTCCAGTCCAGATGATGTTGAGGCTCAATAGTGCCATTGCAGTGTGTTAGCTATCTTCCCATTCAGTCCTTACCCCCAATTTTTTTTTTTTTCCTTTTTGTCTTTTTTCGTGTCCGGCAACGGATCGCAACCCTCAGTGTCGCGCCTGTACCGGACCGGGACCGGCAACGGGATCGCAACCCTCGGTGCTGCGCCCACCCCTCGCTCAGCCAGTGAGCGGGAACCGGTCTGTATGTGGGATCCGAACCCTCGGCGGGAGCGCCGCCACGCTCCCAAGCAGCGCACTGTAGCAGTGCGCCACCAGGCCGGCCCCCTTACCCCCAATTTTGCATCCTCTGCGCAAAGATTGGTAAGCTATCTATGTCCTCACTGTGCTGTGGATTATAGTACTGAAGAGGCCAGGTCTTAGGCCTGACAATGGAGACCTCAGTCTGGGTTGATAATGATCAGTACTTCTTGGGGTTGTCTGCTTTTGAATGGACCCAGTTAATCCTAGCTCCACCCCATATTTCTCTGTCTTGTCCACATGAATAGCTGTAAGCCCTTCTATTAGCTGCCTTGTTGCAATCTAGATTTTCTGCATTCCACAAAACTTCAAGGCTTTGCAACCCCTTTGGAAAAGGAGATGGACTTAGCTGAGCATGACTTGTTCTTGGTAAATCTGTGCTAGCTTCCAGTGCCCACCACTTCCTCTTCTGAATGTCCCAAACATTAAGTTTGCAAGAGTGCAGGCTTGCTTTCCCAGTTTCTGGAATCCACCCTTTACCTTTCTGTGCAAAAAGGAACAGCTTGTCTTCTGACATCGTTCCCCTTCCCCACGATTCTGTGGGAGTGACCAGAGGTGGTGCCACAGTGTCATCTGTGGTCAGTGATCGAATTCCCACTTAAACGTGTCCTTGAATGCTCTTCTCATGTTTTAGGCTCTCCAGTGTAAGATGGCCATCTGAGATAAGAAAGGTGGAAGCCAAAAGGGAGCCGAGTGGCTCTGCTTTCTCTGCCATCAGTTTAACATTAACCCACAGGCCCCGGTACTTCCTCATACTCTTGCTCCAAACATAGATGTAATTTGTTCACAAACCTATTGGACGGTCCTTGGTATATGTTTTAGCTCTCCTGTGGGCCTGTTCATTTCTAAACATCCTTGGGCTATTTCATGTGTAAGTGGCCAAGCCAGCTAGACAGAGAGCTCTCTGAGGGCAGGGGCCACCTGTGCCAGGGTTGAATGCCACCGTCCCCATTGCCACTTTGGTCCTGCATGGCCTTCACGGCCTTTAGAGGTGCCCTGGGAATAAGGAGGCAGGGCAGTGAGCAGTGTGGTTTGATGATTTGTCAGACAAGCATGTCATCATGGAACATTCTTCAGCGTGCAAATCCATTTACAAGGGCCTGCTGCTGCTCCTGCAAACTGCACATTCCTTCAGGACACCCACCCTTTCCCTTTCCTTCCACCAAACCTCAGTCACACCTCGGGTGTGTTAGAAATATGGTTTTCCCGGCTCCCGCCTGCTTCTATCCCTCACTTCTCTGTCTCTTCTCCCTCAGTCCTTGGCTTGATTTTTATAGAGAATGTGGCTTAGTTCCTGGTCTCTGGTCTGCATGTCCCATCCGGGGGCCCTCCTTGGGGACAGGAGTTAAACTCCGTATTTATAGCCCCTTTTATGGGGCTTCTGGGGTCTAGGCTCTGCCAGCCAATAGAACCTCATTAATGGGTAGGTTGGGGTGAGTGGTGGGCATTGGGGTGAGTGGTGGGCCGAGCTGAAGGATGGGGAAGAGGCAAGGTCTAGTCAGATGGATATGGGTTGACAACTCTCAGTGTTGCTGGAACAGATAAAACCTCTCCCAGACCTCCCAGTGCACTTCCCCAGTTGACCTCTTACCTGCTGTCCATAGTTGCTGGAAGCTCCGTGGGACACTAGCACAATTTTGAGTCACCTTGAAATGTCCTTACCACCTTCTGATCTGTCCTTGCCCAGACAATTGCTCAGCCCAGGGCAGAGAGAGAAAGTTTGATCCAGGGAGGGGAGGGAAAGGGGAGGCTGTGGGGGAGAAGGTAGATTAGAGCCTTAGGCATGGGGGAAAGAAAGGAAGACCAGGTGATTTGCATTCCTTCAGAGGACAGATCAAGAGAGCACTGAGCCGACCTTAGCAGGTGTCCTACAGTGGGCTGAAGGGGGCCATCCCTGAATAGGGACTTGTGCTCTGCAAGGAGAGCACTCTCTATGGATGGGACAAGGTGTAGGGGACCTCCTGTGTGTCTGCATCACATCTGCCTTTTTTAAGAGGCACAATAGTCTCATGCAGCAGTTCTCAAAGTGTGATCCCTGGACCGTAGTGTAAGCATCACCTGGGATCTTGCTATAAATGCCTCTGATTCTACTGAATCAGAAACTCTGGGGATGGGGCCCAGCGGACTGTGTTTAACAAGCTGTGCAGGTGGTTCTGGTGTATGCTAGTAAGTTTGAGAAGCACTGGCTCAGTGAAAGAATGAACTTTGGAGCCAGATTGCCTGGGTTTATAACTTTACCAGCTGTGTGACCTTGGGCAAATCACTTAACCTCTCTGATCCATATTAAATGTTTCATCTATAAAATGGAGACCTTGATATTGTGATGATTAATTGGAAATGCTTACAAGGAGTTTAATAGAGCACTGTCACTCAGACAGCATCTGTGTGGCCACAGCTCTGACCTTCATTGTCTCTCTCTCTTTTTCTTTTTAGGTAGTATCTGATGCTGCAGGACAGGGTGTGGCCATCACAGGGAACCAGACCTTCAACAACTGGAACTGGCCCAATGCAATGATTTTTGCAGCCACAGTCATCACCACCATTGGTAAGTCTTCTGGGACCTTTAGGATACCCACTTTTATGCTCCAGCTCCTCAGAACCTTATAGGAATCCAGCTCTGGTTACTCAGGCTTGTGCAGTGTGGGGGTAAAATCAGGCCAGTTGCAGTCTCTCCTTTTGACACTTTCCTGGGGATTTAGTAAATCTTTGGTGACTGGCCATGTCTGGGAGACTCTCATAAGTGCAGACCAGGGCTCTTTGAGCAGAAACAGTGATACCATCTGGTCTCCAGAGCCATGCAGGAGACTGAACAGGCTGCTCACTGCACAAACCCAGATTGTGCTTACTCACAGTCCGCTGGGCCCCATCCCCATTTTCCATGGCTGTGTAGCCAGCCACTCCAGAAGAGAGAGGCTTAAAACACAGCTCTGCAGGCTGACTGGGCTCAGCTGGTCAGTTCTTGCTTGGACTGTGCAGTGAGGTGGCAGTCAAACGATGGCTGGGGCTGAAGTCACTGGGAAGCCCAACTGGCCTGATGTCCACGATGACTTCCTGCCACATGTTTGACAGTTGATACTGGCTGTTGGCTGAGAGCACAGCTGGACTGGATGAAAACACAAGGCCTCCACATGTGGCCTGGGCATCGCACAGTAGGGCAGCCAGGGTCTAAGAGGGCAAATCCCAAAAGTGAGCATTTCAAGGGAATCCAAGGGAGAAGCAGTAGGCTTCTTAGACCCAGCCTGTCCAGCACCACTTTCACTGCCTAGGATCAAGCAAGTCATTAAAGCCCAGGTTCAAAGAGAGGAGAATTAAACTCCACCTTGATGTGAGCCATCACGTAAGAAAGGAGGGAATTGAGAATGGCCATCTTTGGAGACCTTCTACCAGAGTGCCTCTGGGTTGTGTGCCCAGACAGGGCACAGCAGTACCATACGGACTAGTGGAAACCCTGCGGGTGGTGGAGGCTTAGTCCCTGCCTTCAGGGAGCTCCTAGCATGATGGAGGAGACATAGGCCGTATCACATAATTGCTTTATAAATTATCATGATCACAGTGTGATCAAGGGAATTATCATTATTTAAGTATTGGTATTACATCAGTATCAATTGATCTTAGAGGATGGGCCTCGAGCTGGCTCTGTGTGTGTGTGTGTCTCTGTGTGTGTCATTGTGTGTCTGTTGTGTGTGTGTGTGTCTGTGTCTGTTGTGTGTGTATGTATTGTGTGTGTCTGTTGTGTGTGTATGTGTGTGTCTGTTGTGTCTTTTGTGTGTCTTGTGTGTGTATGCATCTGTTGTTTGTGTGTCTATTGTGTGTGTGCATGTATCTGTTGTGTTGTGTATGTCTGTGTCTGTTGTGTGTTTGTGTGTCTGTGTGTGTTGTGTATGTGTGGGTCATTGTGTGTCTGTTGCGTGTGTGCGTGTGTGTGTTGTGTGTGTATGTATTGTGTGTGTCTGTTGTGTGTGTGTGTTGTGTGTGTATGTGTGTGTCTGTTGTGTGTATGTGTCTGTTGTGTGTGTGTTGTATGTATGTCTGGTGTGTGTGTGTGTGTGTGTGTTGTGTGTGTGTTGTATGTATGTCTGGTGTGTGTGTGTGTGTGTGTGTGGTGGAGGAGGAGGCAGGAGCCCAGGCTGTCCATCAGCCCTGCTGTGGCTCTGTTCTTGACCTCACCGTCTCTTTCTTCAGGCTATGGCAATGTGGCTCCCAAGACCCCCGCTGGTCGCCTCTTCTGTGTCTTCTATGGTCTCTCCGGGGTGCCGCTCTGCCTGACATGGATCAGTGCCCTGGGCAAGTTCTTCGGGGGACGTGCCAAGAGTCTGGGAAGGTTCCTCACCAAGAGAGGCGTGAGCCTGGTATGTCCCCAGCTTCAGGTGCTAGGCAGAGATGGGGGGACCGTGACAGGTGAGGGGAGGACAGGAAGGCTCCAAGAATTGGACAGGGGTGTTAGGACAGATGGCAAGAGGCCAGCTTCAGAGCTCCCTGCCCTCCTGGGTCAAGCTGGGAGCACCCCTCCCCCTTTTGGGGCCATTTAGCCCCCCAGGCCTGGTGTCCAGTGGCCTCTCCTCTAGCTGCCACCCAAGCCCTCAGGTGTCCCTGCTGGCTTTCTTGAGTCTACCATTGTCTGACATGGTCTCCTGCCACCTCATCAGCGGAAGGCACAGATCACATGCACGGCCATCTTCATCCTGTGGGGCGTCCTGGTCCACCTGGTGATCCCACCCTTCGTGTTCATGGTGACTGAGGAGTGGAATTACATCGAGGGCCTCTACTACTCCTTCATCACCATCTCCACCATCGGCTTTGGTGACTTTGTGGCCGGTGAGTCCCTGCCCCTTTCCCCCTGCCTCTGACTCCTCACTTCTCTTCCTCTGCTTTTCCTCCAGTTTCAGGTCAGCAGACCTTTGCTGGGGCCCCTGGTAGGCGATCGGTGTTCTGGGCACTTCGCCCACCCGGTGGGTTCTCCCCCTACCCTGCCAGTTGCAGGAGGAAACTAAGGCACAAAGTAATT